AGAGAGAGAGAGAGAGAGAGAGAGAGAGAGAGAGAGAGAGAGAGAGAGAGAGAGAGAATTGAATATAGAATATAAAAAATTAAAAAAATAAAAAATAATGCTATTTTTTTTTATCCAGAAATATATACTTTATATTTCATTATATTTCTTAAATAATTTGTAAAGAATTATAAGATTTCTATTATTAAGTTACTATATTAATTAAATCATATATAAATTTTATTTTCAGAAATCAAAAGAACATAAAAAAGAAAAGAAAGATAAATTAAAGAAGAAAAAAGATAAAAAAGAAAAACACAAAGAAAAAGGAGATAAAATAAAAGAAAAGAAAGACAAAATAGATAAAAAAGAAAAAATAGATAAAATTAAGAAAAAAGAGAAAAGAAAGATAAACGAAAAGAAAAAGAGGTAGAAAAATTTTTTTATAATTATTTATAATATTATATTAGTTATTACTTTTCTATCAAAATTAAAATTAAAAAATTGATATTTTAATATTATATTATTGCAGAAAGAAGATAAAAATTTTGAAGCTGTACCAAAAATAACATTAAAATTAGGTACAGCATCTCCGAGACCACCAACGCCAGATACTGCTCCAATGAAGAAAATGTAAGCTCACAATTATTTTTATTTTATTAATAATTTATTTTTTATTTTATTAATTACAATATCATTAAAAAAAATTATAGTATCATTCAAAAAATTCTTTTTTATTTATTTTCAATGTTGAAATATTTAGCATTATTTATTTATAATTATCAAAGTATATTATGCGTTAATGTTGAATACATTCCAATACATGCGTATTTAATAACGCATATATTATTATTAGGGAAATGTGTTATAGAACTATAAAAACATTACTGAAGAAACCTGAAGATGAGACAAAACGAGAACCAAGTCCAGAATTGGCCAAAATATCAGCATTAGTCACGCGACCACCAAAGCAAAAGTCGGCAAGTAAGAAAACAGAGGAGGGAACGTTAGATGGAAGCCCTGCTCTTCCTACAGATACTTTCTCTGCCAATCTTACTAGTGTGCCACTTGCAACAGTTCCTCGAGCAAAGAAATCTCTCTTCAAAGCCTTACCTCAAAGAGAGACTCCTCCATCTCAATTTGATCCTACTCCTAAGCTCCCAACTCCTCTGATGCAACAACAACCACCGTATTATTTTGTAAGTACGCTTTTATATGATATAATCATATATTTCAAATATAAAATGTTATATTTTTAAATATAACATGTAATTATATTATTAAATATAATATTTTATTTTATTTTTAAATATAACATTTGATTATGTTTTCAAATATTTCAGAGTATTTCTCATATATTAAAATCAAATATATAAAATTAATACAATAAATATATGAGGGCTGTTAAATTTTATAATCTTTATAATAAAAATAATATTTTTTGATGATTATTTTCTTAAGTTTTTTGTACAGTAAATTAATATATCTTTTTCAATTATATTATTAAGATAAATATAAACTTTACGTTTGTTTTATTAATATAAATTTATTAAAAGTTTCAGTATATTTACATTTTGTAAAGGTAATTACTTCTTTGCTTATATAAATATAAGTATATTATTAAATAATATTATTAAATAAAATTATAATATACTATATAAAATTTTGTAAAATAAAATAATAGTATATTTTGATTTTATATTCTTAGAAACTTCATATAATTGATAGTAATTAATTGCAAAAAAAAGAAATCTACAAATTTCATACATAAATTTATTTTTTCATATCTCATATAACAAGTTGAAATGACAGCCCTCTTTAATTAAATTGATTATTTATTAATCACTATTATTCATATTTTTATTTAGATTAATATTGCTATTATATATATTATATATGTATTTGTATATGAATATATATACATATATATGCTGTACAATCTAAAAGTAATCATCCATGTTTATAGCATTCCAATAATTTCACAGAAAAATATTTTAAAGAAAAGTTAATCAGCTACAAATTGTAATAAAAAAAATTGCAAAAATTTGTTTTTTTAACAATTTAATGATTTTTGTGAATCGTATTATATATCTTTGCCTTTATAATTGCAATTGATATCAAAACAAATTCAATAGCCTACAATTTAATATTACAATTTTTACATTTTGAATTTAAAATTTTGGCTCAATGATTAGAAATATTAATATGAAAAATTATTTAAATTCAAGTTATTTGAATTTAATTATGTAATTATATATTATTGACTATATATTTAAAACAGTACTAAAATTGTCAAACTATAATTAAGAAGATTATACAACAAGTAAAATTAATAATAGATACGATAATAATAATAATAATATCGTTTTGCACATATTGTATAATAAGCAATTATAAAATATTTTAAATAATATTTATTAGATATGATTCTTATTTTAGTGTTGTTTATAATTAATTATAATTATATAATTAAAATAAAATAATTTTTCATATTAATATTAATTAGTTGGCCAAAATTTCTGAAAAGATCATAATAGATTATTGAATTCATTTTGATGTCAATTGCTTGATCAAATCAAAAATACATAATGCCATTTACAAAAATTAAGATGTTCATGATTTTTTATTTAAAAAAACGAATTTTTGAAAAAATCTTTTATTATAGTTATAATAAGACTAATTAATTTTTGTTTCAAATATTTTTTTGTAAAATTATTAGAAATGTCATAATAAAAAATACTCTTATATTGTACACCCTATATATGTATGCATATATATACATATATATATAAACTATATATGCTTTCATATAATACTTCAAATAAAAATATATTAGATAATTTATTTGAATTTCAAACCAATATTTCATATAGATGTCAAATATCTAATTACTTTATATATAAATGATATTACTTTTGATACAATAATTAACTCGACCCATCGATACCATTTTTACCTCATCCAATAATCCAATTTCCAAATATTTCATTTTTTACTTTCTATGCATTCATGACTTGCGGTGACGGTATAATTTTCATTTGGCCTGCTTTGTTGTATAGATACATTTGTCTCTAAAGTGTATATGTAGAACAACTTCATAGCCTATATTAGATTTGTTACTTATTTCGTGTTGTGATTACCAATTTACTTGATCATTTCAAATTCAATTAGCACTTCTATCATTCAGTTAGGTGGAATCTACTTAGGTGGAATCTTTTTATATTGAAAGAAGTCTCAGAACTTAATTATATTATGTTAATATTATTTATGATTTTTTTTATAAACTTTTTTTTAAACTATTTTAATATTGAATATTATTTAATGATAAATTTTTTAGGTAATTAATTTTAATGAACCAAGTTCTAAGACCTTTCTTATATTATACTTCTATTTAAATGGGTTTCAAACTTTCTTTTCTTCTTTTAATATTTCTTTCTGTAATGCACATTTGATATATTTTATATAATTTATATAAAATAATATAATAAAAACATTTGATTTAATAGGAAAAAGAGAATACTTTTACATAATATTATATGATAAAATTAGATACATTTGAAAATCATTTTAAGTATAATTATTCATTTACAATATACATATAAAAATAGATTTTCACAGAAACAGACTGCATTATTTATAGATAAAAATTTTAAAAATTATATTGATATAAATTATATAATGTAAAAAAAAATAAGATATAAAATTTTTTAAATACTTTTTTCTAGAATAATACAAATTATAAAAATCTTTTTAAGTATATCTCTATTCTATAGATATATTTATTAGAAAATAAATAGTGTTTTTAATACAATCATATTCTAAAAATATTTAAATTTGCAGCCCCTAATATTAAATTATTTTATCCTCATTTTAAGAAAAAATGTTATTATTAAAGAACTGAATCATGAAATCATAATTAACAAAATATTATATAAGATAGTAGAATATATATATATATATATATTATAGATTCTCAAATTTCAAACAATTGTTATAAAAAATATAAATATTTTAAAAACTATAGTAATTTGTAATTTTTTTCACAATCAGTTAATTCTTTTATTGATTTTTTAAAAAAAATTTATATTCATTTTATATCTTCAAAAATATTATTATATCAAGAATGTTATTAAATAATAATAATTATATATATGTATATATGTTTAAAATAATTTTCTTAAAATTATATCTTGAATTTAATAAAAAGAATTTAAATAATTTCAATAATTTTTTTGATTAAAAAATATAATTACTTTATATCAATAATATTTAAATATTAATAAATATTTAAATTTATTTATATAATTATTTATATAATATTTTTATATATTTATTTTTTACAAGAAAAAATTTTAATAAAATAATAAATTTTATTCTATATTTTCATTTAAATTATTTATATGAAATGTTAAAAAAAAATTTAGAATAAAATTTTTAATAAATCTATGATATATTATACTTAGAAAATATATTTTTAAAATATTATATTTAATTTTTCATAAAAAAAGAAGAAAATTTTAATATAAATTTTATTTTACAAGTAATTTATAAAAATTATTAAAATATTTTTTATTATTTATAGTTATTTTATTATTTATATATATTATTTTATTATTTACTAGTTTTCTTAATAAATTATTGTTATCTTTTATTATATTATATATTAATAGTTATATATTATAGTTATGTTGTATTTTTTTGTTATATTTAATTTTTCTTGTTGAGAATTTATATTTATAAATTATAAATTTTCCTTGTGTATAGATTTTTTTTTATCAACAATCATTTTTATATCAATTAATATTCTGAAATTATGATTGAAAAATTTATGGTTTAAAATTATTTATGTGTCTTAAATTTAAACAATTCAATTTGAATTTTATAATAGATAATATTAAAAAAAATAAATATTTCTAAATTTATTACAAATTTTTTTACTAAATATTCCATATTCTATTAAATATAAAATTAATGATCTATTAATTTCATATAATCTATATAATATAGATTAGATTAGATATTAGATATGGATTAAATATTATAGATAATCAATTCTATTAAATATAATATTGTTTTTATTGTTTATTGTTATTATTTATAACATATATATTTTAGAAACATTTTATACAAAATGTTCAGTGTATCGGTTAAGATTTTTCAGGCACTTCTAGTTGTTTGAGAAAAAATTAAACTTAAAATAAAAAATATCGATGATCTATAATTAATAAATTATAAAAGTGAAAACGAATATTTTTTTACAAAAAATCGGCATCATTTTTTAAATTATTGTATAACTTTTTCTATGTAATATTGTATAAATGATATTGAGACGAATTCAATAATATGCAATATTAGTACATTCGTTCATGAGAAAAATTACATATTTAATAAAATAAAAATCCAAATATTAATATTTTTCTTCCAATTTTACTTTATTATGTTTGCTTTGCTGTTGGAATAAACAGATTTAATAATTTCATTTTCATAATTAGTTTTTAATTATATTAGTAATAGTTTAGTAATTATATTATATTATATTATATATAGTAATTAGTTTAGTAATTATATTATCTGATATTGAAATTTAATGAAAAGAAAAAAACTCTGCATGAAAAAAGAAAACAGCATGTAATTTGAATTATTTATTTGAGATTAATACTAGATAATATAATTTCAGATTATTAACAAGATCAAGTCTATTTATTATTTACATAGCAAAAGCGTAAATAATAGTAAAGGAAAATAGAACAAAAATATTAGTGCTTGATAAGAAATCTTTTTAAAAATGTTTTTTTCACCAAATAGTTGAATAAATATATTGATGTTGCATATTATTGGATTCGTCTTAATATTATTTATAATATTACATTTTATTATATGACATTTACAGGAAAAGTAATACAGAATTTAAAAAAAAAAGTAATCCCGATTTTCTATAAAAAAAAATAATATATTTGTATTTTTTACTTTGAAATTTGTTAACAATAAAGCATTGATAATTTTTCATTTCAAATTTTTTTTTTTCTCAAACTGTCAGAAATATCTGAAAAATCATGCAACCGATATGTTGAAACATGCTATATATGAGTTTAATAAAATTATATTTTATTATTTAAATTTTAATTATATTATTTTTATTATAATTTTCTATTTATAGAAATGATTTTTAAGTAATAGATATTTAAAAGAATAAAATAATATTTAATAATGCCTATAAACATATAAAACAATATAAAACATAAACATATAAACATATAAAAAAATTTTATAAACTGTATATAGAATAAACATAAATTAATAACATTTTACTATACACATACATTATTATATATTAATATATATAAATCTTTTTTCAATACTTAATTATAATTCAAAAATATTATAAAAATTATATTTTATATTTGAAATAATTATATATATATTTCAATTAATTAATTTATTGCATTTTTAATTATAATTATAAATTATAAAATTGATATTTTTGACTCAATTTTTTTTTCTTCATGCTCATAAATATCAATATTATTGATATTTATTTTATTAAAATATACTATTTTATAATAAAATATTTAAAATAAAATTAAAGAAATGCATATTATTTTTATATGATATTAATACAATAATTTATTAATTTGTTATTAAAAAATTAAGTAAATTATTAAAGAATTAAACAAGATAAAAATTGAAAAATATATAAATATAAATTGAATATTATTGAATATAATAATTTTAATATGACATATAATATGGAAACATTAAAGATTTTAAAATAATTTATATTTTTTTAAATATAGGTATAGAATTCTTTAGAATAAATAAAAGAAATAATAAAAAAAATTAAATTTGATACAATACATATAATGCAATTTCAAATAATAATTTGAAATAAATTATTTCAATTATAAATTATAAATTATAAATTATATTATGACAATATATATTAATTTTTTAAAAAAAAGGGGGCAGCAAATTATGAAACACTATTTTATTATTTATTTAAAAATGAAAATGAATTATAAATATATGATAAATATATTTGATAAAATATAAAAATATTAAAGTATATTTGAGAAATTAATACGAAATTTAAAAAACAATAAAAAAATAATTTTATTAGAGCACACTAATTTATAATAAATAAAATTTATATAATTATATATTATTTTATTGATATATAACATTATATAAGATATAATGTTAAATACATTTTTTTTTATTTTTTTTTCTTATTTATTTCATATTTTATATAAAAAATATTATATATATTTATTATAATATTTATTAATGTACTTTATTATCTATGTATATCTTGTTTATTTTTAAAAATTAGATTTAATGTATTATATTAGAAAAAAAAAAGAAAAATATTTTATATTTATTTAAATCTATTCTTTAAATAAATTATACATTTATGTCTTTAATTTATTATAATAAATATTTAGAATAAATATTTATTATAAAGAAAATTAATTATATAAAAAATATAGTTATAAAAAAATAATAAACAATTTTTTAATTAGTAATAAATAGATTTCAGAAATCATGATAAATTTAAATTTAAAAGAAAAAATATATATCAATAAATAATATATTTCATTATTTTTATAAAAATAAAATAAATAACTATTTTATATATATATATAAAGGAAGATTAAATAGTTTACAAAATAGTGAAGGTTTGATTGCATGCAACTTGCATGTTGTTATTAAACATAGCATGCAAAACAGTTAGGAATATAACCAACGGTTTTAACGGCACAGAGACGAAAGCAGATGCAGCTCTTAAAAAGGATGATGCTAAAGAAGACAAAGAAAATGGCAGGATTGCGCTGCCCCCAACATCAACCACTACTGTGGTGAGTACATTCCCATTTTAAAGTCATTGGGTACTTTTTTTAAAGTATCACCTAGTTTCTATCTACGTCAGTTTCATAGAAATACATGGGTTTGTGCATTAATTTTAGCTTTTGCTTGAATTCATTATGATTATGATATTAGAAACGTTTTTTCAATTTTTAATCCAAAAATCTTTACTATTTTAAAATTATTAAAATAATCTTATTTAAAACTTTTCTCTTTAAAAAGATTAATATTAATTCATGTACTTGTAATTATACAAGTATATGTATATATTTATATTTATAAGTATATAAAAACAATGTGAATTTATAACAAAATCTATATATTTTATGCATACAATAACACATTGTAAAATAAAATTTATATACATGTATATAATTTATAATTTTCACATATATTGCATATAAATGCATATATTTTATATGCATATAAAAATTAATTAATACATTTAATATTGAAATTAGTTTTTTTTCTGCATTATAATTTATATATACTAAATATTTAATAAGTTTCTCTTTTATTACATTTTTTATTTCTTTTTCTCATCAAAATAAATTCAAAATAAATTTTTTATTTATTAATAAATATTACTACATTTTTATATATTTATATAAAATCATTTGAAAATATAAAAGAAAAGAAATAATTATTACAAAAAACTGTTTAAAATAATATCAAATTTATAAAAAAATTCAATAGAAAAAAATATCATTCTTTGTAAACTAATTATAAAAGAATATTTTAAATGTATAAAATATAATATATTTTTATTATAATTTATTTATTTTATTTTTGTATAAATTTAAAGTTCAACATAAACACAATTTGTCCATAAATTTTGAATAATTTTTAATTTATATAATCATTAAATTTATTTTTTATTATTAATATTAATAAAAAACTAAAAATATTTTGATATTTCTAGTTATATATAATATTCTGATATATATATATACACACACACAATTATGTATTTATATATATTATATACTTAATGTTATACTTGTATTAAATATATTATATTTACATATAATATATAATTTATATATTGATGTTCATATATTACATTATTTTCTATAAGATGAATTATCTAATATTACAATTTAAACTTTCTATCTTATTTTTAATATTATAAAAGAATGTTTAAGATAGGTGATAAAAAAATTGTCACAAAAAAATGACTTTTCTAATATAGAAGATATTTTGTAACATTATGATTTATATGATTTTAAAGCATTTGAAAATGATTTATCAATATTTTTATAATTGTAAAATATATAACTTGTAAAAATATTTTTTTATTTTACTAATAAAAGTTCATCAATATATAACATTATATTTGAATTATTTTAAGTAACTTATATGATCATCTAAAATAAAAATGCAATAACATTATTGTACAGTTTATTAAGAGATTTTTTTAATATTGTAATTACTGAAATCAAAAATTATCTTTTTTTTATAAATTGTTTTTTTTATTTTATATTCAATATTTATTAATTTAAATATTTGAAATATAAGAAATATTATTTATCTATTCAATTAAATCAAATTTCGCAACAAATATTCCTCTTTAAGTCATCTAAAAAAAATATTTAAAAAAAAATTTTTGCTTTTCATAATAATTTAATTATCTGTAAAATATGTTACATACTATTATATCAATACTATTATATTATATTATAGTATGTAATATTTCTTGTTTAAATATTTTCTGTATTATTAAAAATAATATAAAAGTTTTAAATTTTAAAATTAAATAATTCATTATATATATATATATATAATTAATTTTTATGTATACTTATATATATATATATATATATAGGTATTATTTTTTATATAAAACTATCTAATTATTATTTAAATAATTTAAATACTTGCATTTATAAAAATAAATTTGTATATACTAATAAGCATTTGAAATATAAAATTTCAGTAATTAATATGATAAATAAAAAAAAATAGGTCTGAAATTAAATAATTTTATGATCTTGGATTAATAAATTTGGTCCTTGAACAATTAAAATGTATGTTGTTAAATGAATAATTTTATCATAGAATGTACTTTTTTTTTTATTTGTGGGCCAAGTGAAAATTGATTTCATTACCGCAGACCAATACTTCAATTTTTATATAAATATATTATTCCTTCCCTATTTACACTCATATACATTAAATCATATATCTACTTACATTATTTTCTTGAATTTTATATTTAATTAAATAAATATATATTTTATAATATAATTACATGAATTTTATCTAATTTTTATATTTTATATTACTTTTAAGATTTTGGTTTTGTTTTTATTTTCATAACAGCTATTTCATCAGCTATTTTCATTATATAAATTATTGAATAAACAATTTATATAATCATAATACATTTTAATTCATAAATATTTCATTTTCATTCAACTTTTAATCATTTATATTCTAACTCGTCTTATATATATTTTAGAAAATATTTTATTAATTTTAAGATGTAACAAATTTTATCACTATCTATTAAATACTATTATAAATCTTTTATCACATTCTGAATTTTTTAATTATAAGCAATAAAATATAATATCTAAATATATTAAAAATTTAATATATATTAGATATTTTTTAATAAATAATATAGTAATATGATATTATGACAATATAAAAAACACAAAAGATGGGTTGGGTTATCCAAATATATAATAAAAGATAAGTATATTGTGTTTTTATCGTGATATGAGTCTTTCAGGATCAAGGTGGTCATCAAGTTTGGATATGTCCTGCATGTGGTAATCAAGATGATGGATCACCTATGGTTGGTTGTGATGATTGTGATGCATGGTATCATTGGTAAGTGAATTTCGATAAAAAAATAATTATTATGGAGTTATGTTAAATTTTAATAAATTATTTCCTAATATAAATAAAACAGTTTTATTTTGTACATTGATATTTAATATTTTAAAATGTTAAAAATTTAAATATTATATATATATCATTTAATTTATCAATTTTTTAAATTAAATTAAATTAAAATTATATTTAATATTATAAAAAAATTATTTATTATAAACTGAATATTTTCATGACTTAAATCGTTTTTATAATTATAACTCAATCAAATATGAATTTCAATATCATTATATCTACATTAATAATTCTCTCTCTTTTTTTTCAACATTTTTTTCATTAATACTTTCTTTTTCTTTTTTCATAATAAAATAAAAAAATTATGTTCATGTTACTTAAAATTATTTTTATAATTTATAATAAATTATCAAATGAAAAATATACAAATCTTTTTTTTATATTCAAATTAATTCTATTTTGTACTTAATTTATATGTTTTCAATTATTTAGGGTATGTGTTGGGATGCAAGTACCACCAGCTGACAATGAAGATTGGTATTGTCGCTATTGTATAGCCAAAAAACAAGAACTCCATCATGATAAAAAGAAGAAAAAAAGGAAGAAAAAGGTGAAAGTTACTGCCTAGTACAAGCTACCCGGATCTTGTGTAAGATCCGGTATAGCAATTCAAACTGCTACCAAAGTTAAAAAAGACAGTAAGCTTGGTGTAAAAAAGTATGAAAAGCAAGAAATTATCAAAAGCAGAAATGAAGTTACAAATGAAATCATTAAAGGAAAAATCTTTACCAATCAAGGGAAAGGCTGGAAAAACTATCATGAAAGTTAAGACTATAAAGAAAAAAAGTAAAAAGATGAAAGATAGTGCAATCCAATTGGCTTAGAAGATGTTATCTTTTGTGATTGTTAATATAATATCATGATTAAATTTTAACACGTTGATAGCTAATTTTCAAAATTCTAAATTTTCAGTAATACATTAATATTTTACAATGATTATTATCTTCTTATAATAAAACATATGTGATATTTATATTGATAAAATATATAATATTCAACTACACATAATTATTTTATTAAAACTGTTAAACTGTTAAAAATATCACTTAGAAATGATACAAATTAGAGAATAATAATTAAATTCTTTAATAAATTTAATAAAATAAATTTTCATGTAATTTATTCTATCTATTTCTATTTGAAATAACTACTATTTTTAATACATACTACATAAAAGATTTGAGTTATATATATTTTTAATTGCTATAGAAAAAATTTAAATTTATTTTAAAAGATTTTTCTATTTTAGAAAAAAATAAAAAATTTGAATATTATTATATATTTATTCAAATATTTATTGCTTATTATAATTCATTTTTTAAAAAAAAAATGAATATCTAAAAAAATGATATTCTAAATAATTTAATTTTATTATTTTTTTCATATAGTAAATTATTAATATAAAAGGCTATTACTATTACATCAAAAATATCTAATCTTAAATATTTTTTGATTTTATATTATTTAATATTAATTTCTTTTCAAAACTCTATAAATATAGTATTTTCATTTTTTATATCCATTTTTATATTCATTTTTATGTAGAATGTATTATAACATAATTATATATAATATTATAGTATTATATATAATATTTATGTATGACAAAATTTAATATATGTTAACTATATCATATTATGTTGTCATTGAGATACTTAATTTTTTATTACAGGTTTTTATAAAAATTATTTCTGTACATATTAGTAAATTAAAATATATAATATTGAATATTATATATATAATATATATTTAAAAAAATATTATAATTTTCTTTTTGGAAATTAAAAATATAATTTCAACAACATGAATAACTTGCATAAAAGTAACATAAATACAAACAAATAATGTATTGTTTGTATAGCAATCAACGTGTTAAAACTAATAATGTAATAAAATTGAAAACTAGTAAAAAAAATTCTATTTTCTTTGATTAAAGCAGAAGCTTCTGCATAATAATATGTTGTGTACATTTTTTCACCTGTATTTTTAGTATATCCAAACTAAACCATAATTATGAACTGCAATGAGTATAATGATAAATAATTGACTGATTGTTTTGCACTCATAATATTAACCCTTACAACTCGGATTATTTTTGTAACTTATTTTTTAATTTGTAAATAGAAATAGTAAAGTATTTCATGCATTTACTATTTCCATAATTATGAAACTTACAATGCATGATCTACAATATAAAATATATTTTTTATAGAAATAAATAGTGCATATTACTTACCACATTGATACCTACATGGATAGATTTATTCATTTTGCAAACTAATAAAACTGAGTGAATAAATCTATCTATTCAGTTGACAATAAATATTGATTATTTATTATTTATAATAATTATTTACATTACAATTTAAACATTATACATAAAATGGCATTATGAAATGTAACTACGTATTTGGGTCTCAATGTGATAAGAATAAAAATTTAATCATATAAAACAGTAAAATTGAAGCATTATATTCATTATTTATTGTCCTAAATATAAATGATTAAGTTAAATTCTTTATGATATTATTATGTAATTTTTTTTTATTTAAACATAATAAATTCACAATTTTCTATTTGTGAGGATAGAAAAGTTTAAAAGTTGTTAGGGTTAATTTTAATATCACACAAAAAAATATTAAAAAGTAATATATTAAATATTGTTATTCATAATTCAAATATTATATTTCATTTTTTGTTATTAAATTAAATATAAATATAATAAAAATAGACTTTCAAAGTCAAGATTAGAATCAATTTAAAAAGTAATTACATAATTTCATAGTTTATTGTAATTTATAGTTTTATATTAAAAAATAAGTAATGACATTGCATAATAATAATAATAATAATATATTATAATCTGATGAAGTAAATTTCAAAGTAAAAAATCTTTGCAATTAAATAAAATGTAAATTAATTTTATTAAAACATTTTTTGAATGTTATAAAAAATTAAAAGTCATCTTGCAAAAACAAATGTAAATAACTTTTGTACATTACGATTATATAATAATTATATATATATATATATATATTTCATGCAAATCATTTTTATTGTATGATAGAAACATTGCTTACTAAAAATAAAATAAAAAACGTTAAATATTTAAAAAGAGATTACACAATAAATATTACTAAAATTTGAGAGTTCTTTATTATTTTTATTAACAAATACAAACAATATATTCTAAATAAATACATAATTACATAATACAAAATTATCAAATTAATTTTGTTCTAAATTGATTTAATTTAAATTTTATTCATATCTCTCTTATATTTAATTTTCTTAATCTTATATATGTTTTTTTATATCTGAAATTAACTTTTTTTACTTTTTACATGTATTATTAAGTAATGTTTAATATTATATTATTCATTATTTTCCATTTAATGTTTTAAATATACATTCGCTTATAATAATAATAATAAATATATTAATAAATAATTACATTTAATAATTATTATTTATAATTATATTTATTTATTCAAAAGTTATATTAACAATTATTATATATTATATATTAATAAGTAAACTAATTATATTTAATATTAATTAAACATTAATTACTATTTATGTAATTATATTCAATTAATGGTTACTAATTTACAAAACAAAGCATCGCTTTCATATGTTTATTTTCAAGAATAAAAAATTACAAAAAAATGATAATACATAAAAGTAATATTTATAATAATATATTAATTAATTTATTATTATTATATTTATTATTATTATTATTATTATTTATCATTACTTATTTAATTATTTATTATTAATGGCAAATTATTAATATTAATTTGCATATAAAGAAAGCTTCAAGTCTGATACTCATCGGTTTCGACCAAATTTTAGCACATTAAGCCTACGTGTGTTACAATCATAACCATAAATAATATATAAAAATTAAAAAATTAAAAATAAGTAAATAATATAAAAATTTATATTATATTTAAATGTTTTATGACATTTATGATTTGATACATCAAATAATTTTTAATATAAATGGTTTAATATATTTAAATATAAAGTCTTTTTAATTATGAATTGACAAACGCAAACTTTTTGTCCAAAAATTGAATTTTGAAATATTTTTTGTTATAAATGTACAAATTTATTAATAATGAATAGACAAAAAAAAGACAGTTTAAGTTATAAATAATTTTCTTTAACAGTTAAAATAAATAAATATGTAATAAATATGTAAATAAATATATAATTTTCTTAAGTTATTTAATTATAATTTGTTGTATTTTTCAATTTATGCGAAATATAATAATTAAAATTATTATTTTAAATTTTTACATTTATCATTTTTCTTTTCAGTATTAATAAAATAATATTGGATTAATCAGAAAATTCTTATTATTTTTTTTCAATTATTAGTTAGCTAATAATATGAATTTTATGATTAACATAAATAAATTATTATTCATAAAATAAATAGTTACAAAAAATAGAAAATTATTTTTATTTTAAGAATTTTAATACTTGATATGATAATTCTTGAAAATTATAAAAAAAATATTTCTTGAGATAAAAGTTTAAAAATATTTTGATAGTTACTGCTTCACTTCTAATATTATTAAATAAATATTATATTATCACATTCAAATCTAATTATTTTTCCAAATACATACATTTTATTTATAATTGCTTGGTTATTTACTATAATTACACTGTGTATATATAAATTTATTGTGCATCGATAAAATTGATGAGTACCAGCCCTGAATCTTCTCTTATTAATTTTAAATTTTAATCTAAAAAAGAAAATATATATTAAAATATATGTACATAAAATATGATTTAAATTAAGATATTTGTAATATTTATAACAAATTTTAATATCATTTGTAAATTAAAATATAAAATATTGATACTTATAGGATGTTAATATATTCATGAATTATTTTCGCAGGATTGATTTTAAAGATCAAAATAAAGACATAAATTGTTACAAAAATATTAATTGAGGCTTATTTATTAATTAAATTTATTAAATTATTAAATGATTTATTAAATTGTAAACAATTAAAGTTTGTATTAGCGACATAATTCTTTATTTCCATTATACTATTCGCTCTGATTCAACTTCACTTCATCTAATGTAATTTTGCTTATAATTTAAATTACTTAAAATTTAATAATTAAGTTTCAGTTTATTGTGTTTGATATTTTTATATTATTTTTATATTAGCTTTTATTCTGAGTTTTCGAAATTGAATCTTCAAATGTCCTGAATATATTAATATTTTACACATTATACAGATTATCATGTAATTGATACAGATAAAAGATAATTCTATGTGAAAAAAAATTTTTTCCATTTGAAGTTTTGTTTCTAACTAAATCAAGTTTGAAAATTTTTCATATATTTTTCAAATACAAGTAAATTTATAAGCTAATTTTCAATCAGATACGAATAAACTATTGATAAAAGATAAAAATAAATGAAAAATATAAAATGAAATTTTATGATTCAAGCTTCATTTTTAAGATAATTGAGGTTAATACAATATATACAGACAATAATACAGACAAAAAATAATTAATATAATCAATGAATTTACAAAAAATTTGATTTTTTTGTAAATTAATTTTTAAATAAAACTTTATTCTGCTTTATTTTCATATATGGAATAACCTCTTATTAGATAACTTATTCAATCGAGAATATCACTTTTATTTTAAAAATTTTCAAATTTAATATATTTGAAACAAAGTTTCAAATAAAATAATTTTATACTTTTTTTTTCTTTGATTTATT